GCTCGAATATTTTTTGAGAGACCCATGTTTTGTAGGTATAATTTTTTGGAATTTAGAACTTTCGACACACCTTCAATAATTGTAATCGACACACCTTTAATACACTACGATGAAATTGGTGTCATAAAGTTTCCAAAATACGTAAATATATATGATTTATTTTAAATTTTAGTTAACTTATGACAAATTTGGGGTTCTTTCCATTGCTTAAGCATTTAGACGCAATGGTTTATTGCTCTTAGGTCTTAGGCAGGGGTAATCGTAAGGAAGTTTTCTCATTTTTCTCTCTACCTGAATAAGTTTCGTTTCTTTTTGATCCTTATAGCTTTCACATAGTTGTCCAGCTAGTGACAAAAAATGCTATTTCATCGGGAGTCCGGTTGCATATGGACTACTATCTTATAAAAAATCCCTAGAGTTCCCTTTACCTCTTTTGATCCCACTTCTTGTTGTGTTTCACAGTAAAACATAATTAAAATTTATTTATTATTTTATTTAATTTTATCGACTGACACACCTATACGAGAATCCTGGGTCCGCCACTGGCACTAGGTGTAATTAGCGTAGCTTGTTCACAAAAAAACCATCAAAACATCAAACACCCTTGTTCGAACATTGTTCGGAGAGGAGTGAACCGCCTCATTAATCATTGTCCAGAGAAGTCAAGGTGCATTCATTGATTTCAAACACCAAGAGTTTTGTCGCCGAAAAACAACAACAATATATGAAAATAAAATAAAAAAAGCTTAAGTTGAAAAATAATAGAACCTGAAAGTGACGTACAGATCGTTTAGAACTAAATGAATGGGGAATTCATTTCATTTTAGAATGAATTCATTTGTAGAATTCATTGTCAAACGAAATCCCATGCTTGGAATATCATCTTCAAGTTTTTATAAAGAAATTAGATTGAATTTTCAAATCATGTTTCGAATACGCCCAGAATTGAATAAATTAATTTTTTTAAACTATATCGTTATTAATTTCCAACCGACACAACATTTCTCTTACTCATTGAAAATCCATCTTCTAAAACCAAAAGTATCATAATTATTATCCAACTCATCAAACAAATCATAAATCAATTTTCATAAAAATAGTAATTCATTGAAGTTTCATCTTTTAGAAATCTTCACGCAAACCATTTTTCTCTCGAGTCAAGGGATCTTGATCTCGTCATCAAAAGCAGGGTATTATCAAACAAGAAAGACCATCAACACAATATTAAGCATGGATTGACCATTGATATCAAGCAAAGAAAAAGGAACATAGATCATAACAACTATAAAATAAAGAACAACAATCTCGATAAAAAAGCAACCACAAGTAACAAAATGTAAGGGGCAAACGTGTACCGATGTACCATATATATCAATCTAATATTATGGGCTATGGTTGATGTTTATAGTAGAAGCGTTGCAGTTTAGCAGGAGAATGAAACTGGGAATCGCCCAAAAAGCATGCAAAAGGGGTGTAAGAACCAAGCAATGATTATATATTAGGTGTAACAGCTGAGCGAATAAGGTTAGACGCGAAAATATAAAATGTTGGCGCCAATTAATAAAACTAGAATCAATACCCGCGGCTACGCCATAGGGTCATTTAGCCGTATTTGGCATCTTTAAAAGTATATTCATAATGAAAATAGTTTACGATTTTTTTGTTAAATAGGATATTGTCATGCAAGAAGTTGAAAAAAATTGCTATAATGCTCGGGTAAACTCTTCATTAGCTTGAAATTTCTATATCAAACCTACCCGAGGAAATACCCGTTTACAAATATGTTACTTACAACAGTGGAAGTAAACAAATAAAAGCTGCACTCCCAATCGTCAACATGGTTTTAAAAAAATTGTTACTGTGCTCTTGCATTCAAAGTCCATTAAATAATACGATTTTTTTAGCCGATGAGTCAAACTAACTAAAATATCATAAATCTCGGGTTACTTCGGTGAGACTAACCCACAAAGTGTCGTAATTCTTAACAATATCGATTCAGTTAGACGTTAGTCCAACATCAGCAAAGCTAATATAACCCCTCCCTCTCAGTTGCACTCATTCATCGGTAAGAGCAAGCCCAACAGCGGCAGTTGCAGCGACATGATCAAGATCTATTTGTTTCTCTAACAATGCCTCCTCTCTGCAATGGTACACAATTGCATATGAGATTCAGAACCAATAACGTGGCATAATTAACATCCAACAGAAAAATTCAAAATTAAGGGGCAATGAAACTAAACCCGAGTTGCAATGGAGTTGGGCTCATCAAAGAAAAGCACAATGTGCTTCCCTATTGTAGTGTCTCCGTCCTAAAGGCATTGGGATCAAATGATCAATGAATCTTCTCCTTTAATGAAAAACAGTGGGCACGTCAAAGAAACTCTCAAATCAGAGAAATAAAGCGAACTAAACAGCAAATAACATTTGCACTCTCGCAAAAACTGCAGCTTCCACCTGTTTCTATGTATATTATCTCTTTAACCCGCTAAATCCTCCTCCATTTTTGTTACGCTTTGAATCCGACACACTTTCCACCTCCAAGGGTTCACGCCTTCCCGCCTTCCCACTTTGATCATCATTTCAACTCCATTCACTACCATGTCAAGTTACAGGCAAGGCAAGATCTACCCTTCCTTTCTGGCTACGATTCATATAATTCAACCAAATGAGTTACATTAGCGTTAGAACCAAGAATACACGACAAATTCCCTTTTGGGGATAACATTTGTGGATTACTACGTAAATCCTAGACACATTAGGAAGTATAAACACAAAGTAATAAACAACTACGCCGTTATAGAAATAAACACGAAATATGCTTAGTGTTTCAAACCATCTTATCCCAACAATTCTCAAGAACATTAGGAAGGAAAAATCTGTTTTAAGCAGACATTAGAAAAGAAAAATAAACAGGGGTTGCTGTTTGAAGTTCACATAAAAAGGTATTGAACAACCATTTCTACTTTCGATGTTGCACACCATCAATAAGCATGAAATCAGACCTATTGCCGTCTTAGATCATGTGAAAGCCTTGTTAAATGGATAACTTGCATAACCAAAATATTTAGCAAGCACGTCAAGCATCCTAACCTGGCTACTGATTCTGGAAAGTAGGAGGTTGGCAACCAGTGCTGTGCAGTTAAGCAGAATTAGAACAAAACCGAAACAATTCAATGGTCCTGAGATTTGTAGCAGCTTGCATCGCCTTATGATATGGCCATTCCTTTCGATCCTCTACTTGCTTGTCCAGCTTGCATCTCCTTATCATAAAAACGACTAAGCAGAATGAGCAAGGTTCTTAGTGATGTATCTATTGAGTAATTATAAGAATGTAGAAGCAAAAGAGACATAACCTAGTTACTTCAAAAGTAAAAAAAGAAGCACTACCTAAGAGAAGAAATGACTTGACAGATATTTGCAGGCTCCTTGAGTCAAACACTTGTCAACATATGGCAAATAGATAAAGTACTAAACCTTAACCGTTTTGCTTTGGTTTGAAATACTCTGAAAAGAATGAAATACGTGGCCAATTTAATGCTTAAAGCATCTCTCGATAAAACAAAACGACGGAGCAAGTTTTTGAGAACTATAATGTAATGTTCAAACAATTGTGTTTACTGGTAATAAGAGCACTGCAATAATTTATAATTAAATCCAAAGGTAAGATTGCAAGTATAAGAATCCAGTTAGAATCAGTTTTGAATTCTCGAGTATGTAACAGAAACTCACAGTGCCTTACCATTAGGATCATGAAATCAAATAAGAATATGGAAGGATGCTGCTCAAAATAAGTACAATATTAGAATAAACAACACCTACATGAAGAGTTCCAAAGAGACGTGGAATGGACTGGAACGGGTAATGATGTGTAGGAGAATCAAGTTTCTTGAATTTAGCAGAGCACTAAAAGCATGCTTATAATACAGGTCCCGACCTATAAAAGCATTTGATGGTAAATATATTAGTTTCATTTGGAAGCTGAAAGGTCCAGAGATGAGAGTTGAAGCGAACAAATCCATGAAAACCAATCATTTCGGAAAAGGTTATGAAACTTTGAACGGCATAGAAATTATGCAACTCCTCTCGGACCCCATGCTGAGCAGAAAGGATGGTGATTTTGTTTATGCAACAACTAACAAAGCAACACAAACAGGAATGTCCAAGTCCGGAGTTCAATTAAAGTTTGTTATGTTATTTCTTTTGATGGACCAAACTAAAGACTGGAAAAAGACTCAACCTTAACGATACAATGGCTAGGTTCAGAGGTCAAAATAACAGCCACTAAACATTTACTTACAGTTCATCTGTTCGTTAGAGGGAAATACAACAAAGTCTCGAACTTTGAATTGAACACATGGAGGAGGGAGATAAACCTACCAGTTGGTCGATCCAAATCTTTGAGAACTCAGTTGGACATGCATGGGAGATGCAGGGCTCGACGTGAGGAACTTATCAATGTTATCAATTAAGAAATTGCTTATCAGCAACACCTGTCCCAGAACCAAAGGAAATCATAAAGGCAAAATTAAAGGTAACAACTAAAAAGAGGTTAAGAGAAGCTTTCGAGAAAGCCGATTGTGCTAGCGAGAACCTTCCTTATTTGACCCTCATGTAGCTTCTTTCGCTCGGGAAGAAATGGAGCCTTTGATTCTGAATTACTTCCTAAGCTTTCAAGACCTAAGTCAGGCGGCTGCTGTGCACAAACTTGTTTGCCACTATAGTAGAAGGTTTGAACTTGCGTTACAGTGGCAAAGCTGTTTCTTTCTCTATAGTAGATGCATTTTAAGAAACTTGATGAACTTTAATTCTGGAATCAACCCTTATCCCCACAATTCCATCGTGCAACCAAGACCCACCATTCCACTGCAAACCACTTCAAGACATAACCCACCAACCAAACTACCCACTACTGCTAATTACTGAGTTTGACGAAGACAGAAGCAAACTGAAAAGAGTTTATAAGAAAAGCTAAAAAAATGGTTCATCGAGAAGTACCGAATTTATGAGAACCCATCATTCCATTTCATCATCTCGCAAAGCCTCTCGACCTTATCAGCCTTGATGATCGGATTGGCGTGGCAATTGTATTCTTCCCAGCTTTCTTGAAATCGTAGTCGCAATCGATATTTTCTGGGCAATCCGCAGAAAGAGCTGCCGCACTTGCACTTGAACCCGTCAACCAGACTCTCACGTTGTAGGTCAAGCACCTGTTCGCCGCCTTGACCACCTTTGCTGTCGTCGCATCCGACGACATGACACCGCCCCCGTTGCCGATTATCTATCAAGTGCAACCACTTGATCCGCCGCCAGTGCTGCAGAGTTAATGTCGGTGGCGATTGATTCAGCTTCCAACATGGGGTTTTCTGATTTAAAGGTTAGGGTTTTCCCGTGGCGTCCTTGGCCGACACCGCCTGTTCCTCGGAGACCCATATTTCCCTGTACCACTTGGAGCAGAGGTTCATGTTGGATGCCGAGCCAAAAAACAGCAGCCACTGGCGAATAGCTTCGGCTCCGCTGGTGGGAAGTTTGTTCAGTCGTCGTGCTCTGAATCCATCTTCTTCTTTTAAGGATTTTCAACAAACCCAGCTGAGGAGCTTCAAAGAAAGAGAAACCAGAAAAAGGAATCAAAACACAGAAATCTTCCCCCACGATTTTCCTATCTTGAGAAGGCAATTGAGATCCAAACACGACAGGAGAGGGAAGACATTAGACAACCACCAGACCATTGAAAACTCCAGCAGCGCTGAAATCTTTGTTTTTGTTTGGCTCTTTTCTGCTACAACTGAAAAAAATCAAAATTTCATCAATCACCCATGGAAAAACCAATGATCCTCCTCACAGCTGGTCCTCCCTGGTGCCAATGGAGAATTCTCACCATCGTTGCCTCTGATTTTGCCCCGTGATTGGAGTCCAAGAGAGAGGGAGAACCAAAAGGTTTGGGACATGGATGAGAGTTAGAAGATGGCAGGTTAGATAATTAGCAAGAAGGAGACGGAGAAAACACTGATGGTATAGAGGGATGGAGGTATGATTTTGTGGAAGAAAATGAGCAGTGATGTAACAGGAGAGGATAGAGTGTGGGAGTAGAATGATTTATGAGGGTGAGGTGGTTGGCGAAAAAAGAGGGAAGGTGAAAGGGCTGTTGATGTTTTGCAGATTACAGTAAAGTGGCAGTTGAAGTTCTGTGAGTACGGAAGGTAAGGGATGTATGGGCGTCTGCTGCTATGAGGAAAGGCAAGAGCCTGCATGTTTTTTTTTTTTTGACAGTGAACAATCTTGCATTGCACTATGAAAGATCGGTTACAGAGAGGGAAAATGAAAAACAATCGAATCAAACCAAACACAGGCACCTCAGAGCAAACAGTTGACACAAACTGTGCTTGAGAGATACATCAAATAAGAGCAAAACACTGAGTGAAATCAACCACCCAAAGGGACCGAACACTTGATCCAAAACGAAAACATTCCAAACCTCTCATGCATCCGAACCAAACAGAGTAGCAACAAGATCAAGATCAGCTCGTCCGATCACGCCGAAGTCCATGACGATTGAGCAAAGCAATGTCATAAGCCGCCTCCTGGGGAAAACTCAAAGGTATCCAACACAGTGAATCTCAGAAATGAAATTACATGGCGGTGGGCAAGGATGTGAAACAGATTGCTCCGAGCTGAAAAAGGCACAGGGAGTTGAGGCAGAGTGGTCAATCCATGGAGAGAAGAAGATCGGAATCGAGCCCCCCAAACTCTGAGGAAACACCGGACAACAGCCAAAACCACCTAGAGGAGACCCTACCCACCACAATCCGATGAACGGCCAAGCATCATTCAGACAGCAAGGGGAGATCGGAAGGGGAGACGTAAGGAATGGCTACACCAAAAGATGAAACCACCAGGCCAAGAGCATCAACCACCAAAACAGAGCGCGATGAGGCTCCCAAGCTGCCAACTCTAGATCCCAACACGAGCAAGCCCCGAACAGGAACCCCAATCAACGACCGAAGAGCATAAAGCTCAACAGGAGTGAAAGATGAAAATCCAGATCTGCTGGAAACTGAAAGGCCATAAAGGCTGGAAACTGGAAGGCCATAAAGGCTGGAAAAGGGAGAAAACAGAAAGCAAAGAGAGGGGAAAGCAAAGGAGAAGCAGAAGCATGAAAGGAAAGCATGGAGGGAGGGGAGCTCCTCCATCAAGCCCTTTCACCAATTGCCGCTAAAAGACAGAAAATGAAACAGTAACAAAAAAGTGGGAGCAAAAAGCGTAGCTAGCTTTTATATATTAAAAGAATACTCGTAAAATTCATTTGAAAATCCACCTCAATTCTTCTAAATTTATGAAATTTATTTAGACGGAAAACAATTTTATTCCCTTTCTTTTTCACTTGAATTCCAAGTCCACGAGTGTTAAAACTGCGCCATTGGAGCAGCGTAATCTAGCAAGTAGCAAACACTCGTCCAATCAAAGGCAAACGTCTTAACAAGGAAAACTGAACCGAATCAAATTTATGATTTGTGTAGCCATTTCAAACAGAGCAGGAGAGAAATTGAATAATATTAGAATTATTAAAACACAAGTTATCAAAATTACCAAAACAATAAAGTTACTGTTCATTACGACAAAATAGCGGTAACCACTCTTTAATCGGAAACTCTAACCCCTACGGCGCCGTAAGACACACTTTTACCGAAAATAATGGCACTTTCGTCGGGAAACACTGCACCGGATATTGAACGGTTTAATTTCCTGTGGCCCTTTATAGCGTAATTCCGTGGGAAGACCTTGTCGGTTGGCCAACATCGGATGAACTTACCCTATGGGGTCATGAAGAAGAGGCGAGAAGGTGAACTAAAGAAGCATTTAGTCACCAATCGAACCGAGCCGGATGTTTATAATCAGTTGCCGACCACCGGGATATGCTACATGGAACAGAATAACAATTGTCTATGTATCCCAGTCCGTGCCAAAACCCAGTTGAAGAGGAGTGATGGAAATTAACATGCATAGCTCGATCGGCTAGGATTTCGGGACTTCAAATGATTTCAAAGACAAGGATTGAAAACTATTGTAGAGCCCAATTCCCCTCCCTCCAGTTGTGCAAGGATGGAAATAATGCTCTGGCTCTGAGAAGTCTCCCATGCAAAGAAGAAGATGAGCTGAGATTTTGTGAATTTCAATTTTAAATCTTATAGATCCACTTGAGATGTGATGGATACCTTAGCTGAATTGAAAAGGAAATAGCACTAACAACTATAAGAGGGCCTCAAGTGGTGGAGGATCATCACCTCCCCTCCATTCTCCATCTGACTATCTAACTAATGCATGCAAGAGGGGATTTTTTGGCTGTCTAGCTAATAGAGAGCAACAAATAGTTGGATGGCAGGGAAATGGACAAGCGGCTCAGGTGCATTTGTTGCATGAATTGGAGCCTACACGTGTACACCAACAAAATTATACTGTTGGTGGAAGCCAAATCTTCTTCTATCTCCTTCTCTTCAATTTACGGATTTAGTTGCCTTCGCTAACTAATAATTAGCTCTTATAGTTACTACTTCAACAGAAATTTGTGACTATTCCTTCCAAACTTGCTATAAGATCAACACTAATTTTGAGAATATAGTGAAATTTATGGTTTACAATAAGGATGTGCATTGATTTTAGTTGGACACTTTGGTTATAAGACTTTTTTTCAACCATTATACCAATTTTATTGAAAGTATTTTTTCTTCAATAGTCATTTTTTTTTATCCAAGATAAGCCCCCAGGGCATGGCCGAACAACAATAATAAAAGACATACAATAATAAAGAACGGTAGTCCGTAAGCAACCAGAATACTGATGAAAGAGCCTTTTTTGCCACAAAGTGGGCAGCTCTGTGAAAGCCCCAAAGAGCAGAAAGACGCGAAACATACTCAGATAGAGAGAAAGAGGAGAGTACTTCCCCGCGAATACCACGTCTGAGAGGGATAAATCATTGTGATCGCGTCAAAATGCAAAAGTGAAGGAAAGATTCCCTGCAAAACATTACAAATAACAAGCACATACATGGAAATACAATATTCTATCATTAGAGATAGAAGTGAGATCATAAGCAATATTCAGAATTACCGAAAACAACAACATAAAAAGTTAGAAGAGGAAAATAGTTGACAATCAATTACGAAAAAAATTCAAAACTATATATAAAAAAACACTAAACAAGACTACTAATTTAGCCAAACAACTCAAAAGGCAATTAGCCACTAATAAAATACAACATCGCAAAAAATACGAAAACTATCACAACCTTAGACTACAAAAAAAAAAAAAAAAACAGTCGACTAATATCACAAAGCCACAATTAGCCACATTTGTCTTTTGTAATTTTTTGTTCTCATTCCCTACACCTTATTTTACGGCAAACCTTACTCCCTGTAAAGATATTTATTTCATATTACGAAATATTTACAAATACATTAACTTAATTATAAATATATTATGTAAAAATTATGAAGATTTTTTTATTTCTTATATATTAGTTAAAAAATGTACTACGTAGTTTTTCTTTTATAATTAAGACACTATGCAAAACATATAGATGAATAGTGAATTAAGCATATTAATTAAGTGTTTCATATATTTAAGTTTGAAAAAAAATTCATATATTATCAACTTAACATTTGACCATCTTATAATCTTATACATATGCATTACACAATTTTTTTGTATGGTCAGTTATTTTTTACCTAACAATTTAATCAAATGTGGCAGTATTCATGAATTAACTCATTCATTTTTTTTGGTAGAAATTAACTCATTCATTAGTGACAACAATATTCACCATCTCATTAATTCACATTACAAATGTTATGTTGGGTCATTTAGATTTTAAATACCTTTTCTAAATTAATTACATTATTCTTCAATAAAATTTCATTATTATTGCCTCAAATATTCATCATTTCATCAATTTATATTACGTAGAAGTTTTCATAAGATAAGCTAACTTTTATGCAATAGTTAAATCAAATGTGATAATTTTTTATAAGTTAATTTCATTATTAGATCACACATAAAAAATAATTTATGTAACATTATTCTATAACAATTAAGTAAATTACAAATACATTACATAAAACTTATAAAGGGATAGTGATTCTTTATGTATAAGTTAAACAAACGTATAACATAAATTTTGGATACTGAATAAAACTTAAAAGGTTATTTTACCCGAATTATTTTTTAAATTATTCTATTTCAACCGAATCATTAAAAAATTAGTTGAAATTTTAATTATAAATTTTGTTTTACTACAGCGAAGCGCGGGCCAAATAACTAGTACTGAAAAAAGGTAGAAGGCACCTGCGCCGGAGCAGCCTTCTCTTCCCCCTCTTTCCTGTTCTTATGAGTGTAGAGAGTGTTGCGATTCCTTTGTCGGCGTCAGAGGGGCTGGGTAGCGATCCTAGGGGGATACCGTCGAAACCCTGGGCTTCGCTATTCGGCATCTCTGAAGCCAATCGCCTGCAGTACATTCCTCCGGAGGTTGTTAATGGTGGGTTGCGGATGCCTAAGTCAGTTCGGGAGGCGGGAGCGGCTCGATGGAAAAACTGTCTGGTTGGCCAGTTCCTCCAAGATCCGCCGCCGCTGTATGTTCT